AAACCGCGGAAAAGGACACGCACTCATCTGAGCAAAAACAAGTGCCGACGCCCCGAGCAAAGCCTGATGCTCGCCAACCAACGGAGCAAGAACTCCTTTCAAGAGCAGATGACTGTGATGTAATCACAATTATTGAAGAAGACAACACGATGCAGGACCCGGCCACGGAAAGTCTTCGAGATGAAAAGCTCATACAAGAAGAAAATGATCCTACCACTTCCACGGAACACAACCCATCTGAATGGAAGACGGTTGGTCGCGGAGGAAGAACGGTCGCATCCAATGCCCGTTCCCGGCCTTCTCAACGTGGAAGGCCTCGTAACCCATCGTACGAAAGAGTATTTCAGGAATCCATGGAAGATCCCGTTGGTATGCATGACGACTTCTATCAACAGATGCGTAGCCGAAGCGGCATTCGTAATATGGAGTCTAATTCCCGCAGCACAAGTAAATCTTCGCAACGATCAAAACGGCCTAGAAGTTCTAGCCCTTCTAAGCTCCCGTCAAAGCGACAGACTAAGAATGCGCCATCACTGCATCGTCAACGAACTGACAGTAAAGAATCTACTGCCAGATCTCGGATCTCATCTCCACGGCAAGCACCTATTGTTCTGCAAAAACAATCTAACAGTTCAACATCTGCGGTTAGCCAAACGAAGAATCAAAATCCGACGCAAATTCCGCGGCTTGCTGGTTTTCCACCACCGAAATTTCTGGAACGACAACTTGACAAAGTCGATGTTGAAGCGATGTCCGCCGCACAACAAAAACAGTTCAACACCAAACCGACAAAAGTGTTACTAGGTGAAAGAACACTTGCAGCCCGACCTCGACCCCAACATGATCCAGATTTCCGGTTTCGTTATATTCGGGATAACCTTAAACTGCAGATGGCGGCAGCAAATCCTACACCAGCAGAAGAAGCCAAAGCGGCCCTAGCAAAGAAACAACGTCAACTAGAACACGACAAGCGGAACATTGCTAAACGTGAGAAGTCTCTTCAAACAAACACACCATTGCAAGACTCTTCATCGGAAGGTAGCGACGGCGAACTAGGTGTTCCATCAGATTGGGATCGCGACTCAACCGGGATGTACGTCCCCCAAGAGCTAGTCGCGGATTTCCTCATGCCATCGGGCAAAAGACCATCAATATCCAATGACCTACTGTCAATGAATAATCCGGACATCCGCAAAGAGACCCTCTACCTAGCTCGTGGTGGACCTGACCATGGTTCTCGCAAACTGCGGAGAAAGGCGTTTTACCATGAGTATACCAACGCTGAGTCATCAGGACATAGCTCGGAGTGTCAAATCACGAGCGAGACCAAGAAGCAGAAAATGAGCATTCACGGCTTGACCCTAGGCATGGCGCCTGAGAAGAACACTAAAAACGTGGTCAAAGACCACTTAGTTTACGAAAAAGAAACTGCCCAGACGGTCATGTATAGACTCAGCAGCCTTCCGAAAGAAACGCTGTTTGGTTCCACGCAACGTTACCACATCCGGCTCCAACAATTACGCCGCGAAGTTGCTTTTCCGTCGATTGACTCCGTTACGTTGCGACAAGCACAAGATCTTCTTCTCGCAAAAGTTGGTTGCAGATCGGCTGGAATCATGAACCATACGACTAAAGGCAGAAGCGACAAAACTCTTACAAATCTTACCATAGGGTTAGACTCGTTTCGGTACAATGCCTCGGTCCCACTGAAGGTTGTGAAGCTAAGCTATCAAGACAATCTGTACATGCTTGAACTCGGGGTCATTCCAGCGTTAGACAAATCGAGTTACCCAGTTGTGACGTCCATGGGACAAGACGTGTTTCCGAACCCGGATGGTCATGAACGATTCGGAGAAGACGTGCTCACGGACCAAGCCGACCTGTGTTTGACACAGATGGAACAGCGCCAACTAAGTGGATTCGTGTACGATTTCGACACTATGGCTTTCTTCCAGGACTTGCCCAACGATCAAGGGATCATCAAGTCGTACCCTCAGGCTATCACCATGTCCATCAACACCTACATGCAGTGGCTGGCTTCTTCTCTACGTGGATATCCTGCGGCGCTACCACTAAAGGACAATGGAGAATATGACACGACCCACCTGGTCGTGCCGCCAAGAGAAATGAATTTGACGCTGGTGGAAGGTGACCCCAGTGTTCCTATATCAAATAGTCATAGGACAACTGAACTCGCAGAAAGATTGTGGCGTCGTATTGGGGAACCACATAAATTGGCATCACGAATTTCGTATTCACACCAAGTTCAGGATGTAACTATAATTCCAGAACAACGTATAGTAGTTCGCGTCATGCCACATTTTTTGCCAGACATCTTTGCACTGTCAGAATTTACACAGTCACAGAAGAAAACCATCGCAATGTTCAAATGTTCGGCGCCACTACATCCTTCTGTCACAGCAACGTCGTCGAGAAATCGTGAATTTTTCCTCAATTTCAGAGATATTCTCACACTGCGATTGTGCAAAGACGTATCTTCAATGCTCATCCTAAATCAAATCACGAAAATCAAACCAAATTCCTTGCCATTAGTGGCTTCTGGTGACATTCCGCATATGCTCAAATTCATACAGTACTTCCGTTTCCATAGGGAATACCCGGAGAAACTGGGACATGCTGTTGTAGTTGAAGACGTCGATATGACTGATCCACTCGCAATCTTTAAAATTGCACGATCAACGCAATGTCACAAGACTCGGACCTATAAACCTTCTAACCCTACACAATTCCAATCGCGGAATGTAGCTAGCTCTTGGGCAAACAAAAACTCATCTAGCTCTGGTTATAGAAACTACAACAAGAACCAGGCTTACTTCGACTATGAGCACAAATCGCGTCGATAAGTCAACGAACATCCTCACATGTTTCGCAAGGCTGTTTCTTTTCACTTCATAGGAAGACCCATCAACAACTCTTCAGTCCTAAACTATATTTAGAAACACCGTGTTCACAACGTTGCTTCCTCATACTCCACACGCAGGAATACAATCATGACATCGGTCTCTCCTACTCTTGTGGATCAGTATGATCCAGACAAAACCTGTCAGTGCACGGAAGTAAGTGATGCAAAACGCCGCAAAATAATGAAATGGTTATGTCCTCAATGTCTTGGGAATGTATCAGCACAAACCTTAATGTGCGAACGAAACGCTTGGTTGTCACATGTCTTAACTGAAGGCAAAAAAGACCTGAATCACATCTGGAAACTGCTAGGTGTCTTCAGAAACAGGCTGGCTAACATCTGTCTTCTTTCCCAAGGACAACTGAAAGTGGTTAATGAGTTCAATAACCTTAGCGACGATCGCACCCAAATCATTCAGACTTGTCTCAAGATAAAATGTTACGCCCACGACTTCGTACATATTCCTGTTCCTGGTGAACCATCACGGGTATTGGCCCATCTACGCAGAACGAGCTTTCTAGTTAAAGAAGAACTTGAAAAGCCTTTTAGTGACCCAGACATCAAGAAGTTCCTTCCCCCAATCAGGCTGCGACAGTACTATTGGCGATGTTGGTCAGAGCAACCGTACCCGCGAAAGGAATATGATCAATTTCCGATGAACCCTATACGACTTCGAGACACGATATCGCATTGGAAAACGTATCTCTTCGACGTTTGCGAGTTACACCTGCTACCGTTAGACGGAATTAGTCTAATTCTCGATATTCGTAACAAGCAACATGGCGCTGCAGACTTTTCGGACGATGTTTCAATCCGGGGAATCCCCGCTATCCGCGACTCGGGAAGACAAGCTCCTACAGGAGATCCGCCGCTTGAAATCGTGCCTTTCGGCAATAACTACGAGGACGCACAACCTGGAAGTCAAGTACCGGAAGTTAGCATCCGCGACAGCGTGTCTGCACAACCATTACGATCCAGACAACATGCTGAATCTGGAATTCGGGACGACGCCAGTTTACGGGGAGTATCCGAAAGAAGATGCAACCGAAGTTCATAAGAATGACGACTGGCAAAAATCATCCTCAGAGGAGGAAACAGAACAACCACAGAACGTTACTCCAGACATAGGTCAAGATAGACGTTCCACTAAAGTGCTACATCAATTCCGAATTCATTATCATATTCGTACGATTAGCATTCCGCGAGAAGCTCGACATCTCCTGCCGAAGAACCATTCGTGGTCTGAGAACGGAAAAGCACATGCAGACAATTGTGTCAGAATACAATGTTGCACCAAATCTCCAAGTCAACGAGCTAAATACACGGCTTATGCGCTTCATACATTGCATTCTCACAACTACCTAGACTTTCAGATACGTTTTTACGCTTTAGGAGAAGACGCTGCGAACTCCGAAGGAATCTTGGACACAACCTACACGGAGGCCCTCGAAAAAGGCTTCGTGACTAAGAAAACTTGCTCATAGGAGCACTCTGAGGGGGTGTCTGAATGTCTCAGCGGTAAGCAGATACATCCGTACATGAAGAGTGCTCAATATGGAACTATGGACGGAGTAATGGAGTGAATGAGAAGAATTCCTACAGAGAAAGGAAGCAAATGGAAAGCGGGACTGCGTTAGGAACTGTGATCTACAATAGTGTAGTTGCTCGAGGAGGCATAACAAGGTAATGCCGAGTGAAGGAGAAGCGGACAACTCGAGAGAGGTGAACTGGAGATGAGAAGGGATAAAGAGAAATGGACAAAGGGATAAAGAAGGGAATCAAGAAGAAAGGAAGATAGACCAAATAAGGAATATTAAAATCTGACCTCTTGCAGATATGAGTCATGACCTCAATGCGAACCAACTCAACCATAGTTTGGGTATCCCGTATTCCTGTATGGTCGTGTATCTTGTATGTTGGTATCTTGTATTCCGGTATGTTATCACTCTGTTATTTCTCATATTATCCTATGTAACATCAATCTGAGATTATTGTATCTATAATTGGTATCATCCTTTCGGCTTGGAATATTAGTATTCTGATTACATTTGCCATTCAAAGGAAAGAACAAATGCATGGGCCTTGTAGTGGATCTCTTGGTATTGGCAAGATGAATGCCACCATCTTGGGATAAGACTTCTCTCATCCCGCGGCAAATCTCACAGGAGATAGTTTTCCTCAGGTCTTCGAGTCTGAACTAATCCAGAGCTATTTGTCATAAAGGTTCTAGCAGTTGACAACTTGGGAGTGACATACAACGTGTTCGGACTTACTCTGAAAAGGGACACTATCACAATATCAGGTGGGATCGAGATGAACCATCCCATCAGGTCACGGAATGATCTCTGGTTCCAAGGGGAAGAAGATGATCATCACTGCGTCGGTAATCGGTCTCAATTGAGAAAGAGCCCAAAGAGTAATAGATTGCTTAGGCATAGATGGAGCACTAATAAGTATTATCATCCTCCTATAAGAGGAAGGAACCCTCAACGACAAGAGGGAAAGCAATCACGATCACTCACAAACTGCGCGACCAGCGTGATTGATGCGTCGTGTGCTGTGTGCGACCGACAGGACGGAATATCGCCTACACGATTCTGGAAAAAGCGGCGATCTTGAAAACCACGAGAAATCCAGCGGACTTTGAACTTTATCAGCAGACCGGTGGTCCTATCTACTTTTATCGTAATCAGGAGCCTACTCGTGACGAGGTTTCTCTTAAGCCTTGTCAGCTCCGCCTTCTTGAATCGCTCGCCCAAAACGCCATGTCTGTCGATCGCAAGCGCCTCGGCGCAAATTGCTGCATAAATGTAACTGCTTAAGCCGACCGCAGCAGCATCTTCGAGGGTGATCGTAAGTGCACTACTTTTCAGGCCTTTCTCGCGTGTATATGCCTCTGCCGCCTCGTGGACGTCATCCATGACGTCGTAGTAGACTCGCGCCACAAAACATCCAGCAAAATCACAATGAGCTTCTTCAATACTGAGGAAACGAGGCGCCATCGTGTCGCCCCAGGCTACCAAGCAGTAGTTTCCGCGCAATCGCTCAGCAGGCAGTTGGTCTCTACCAATCTCCACTGCAGTGCAGAAGTACTGCATCTCGCCCCGATTGTCGCGCGCGTTGAGCTTGCTCTGAATACACTCGCCGTTCAAAAGTTGCGACATCAAAAAACAGGGCCTGTTGTCACCAGCCAGTAGCTTGAAGGTGAACTTTTTCTGGGCGGGTTTCTCTGCAAGAATCGCGGAGACTGCCTGCAGGGCTGTGAAGTCGAAGCTTCGCTGTGTCGAGCCCAGAGGAACGTGCGTCGATGGTGCTAGATAGACTCGGCCGTCCTTCAGCTTAACATCCATCCCACCTGCGCAATTTCCTAACGCTTGCAGCACTGTTGGATGTAGTTTGCCATTGTCAAAAAGAGGCTCATCCAGTCCAAGTCCGGTGTCCCATGCCTTCTCCGCCTCAGAGAAATCTGCCGAGCAGTGTGCAAAAAATGCGCGCCCAGTTTCAGTGCGCAGTCTCTGCGCAGGAGGCCCGGCATCTTCTGCTACCTCCTCGTCTGTTCGTTGCCTTCTTCTACTGGCACGCGAAAGGCCATCAAGCTGCTGTCGCAGTCGCTCCTCTCGTGCAGCGTGTCTCACTGCGCGCTCGCTGAGGTCACCGCGTGCTTCTCGCTGTTCGCGACGCTGTTGCCGCGGGACATATGCTGCGCGCTGTTGCGTACTCGTATGAGGCTGCGCAGCAGAAGAGGAAACGCCAGCGGTTGCATTCTGGTTGTCTGCTATGCCCTGTCGTAGGCTGTCAAGGTGCTGATCCATCGCGGATGATGCGCTAGAGCCTTCAGACACGCTGCTGCCGTCAGCCTGTTGCGCTGCCGTACTCGCAGCGGGACTTTCGTCGCCTGCGCCAGAGTATGCGGAGGTTTGCCGCAGAATTGAGCGAACAGGGACTGGCGGGGCAGCAGGTAGACTAGCGACGCCTAGACTCGTGTCGGGCGGCATTGCAGAAGCGTCGAGTGATATCTCCACTCGCCTTCCCCGCCGTGCGTGTGACGGGCCGACCTCGGCAGTGCACCTTCCTAAATGCTGAAGCAACCGGTTGCGCGAAGTGAACTGTCTGCCGCACCGCTCGCAGGTAGGTATGTTCACCCCGCTGCCAAGGGTAGAATTGCGATGCGTTGAAACTCCACCACGCACCTCGGTGAAGGGGTTTGCGCGATGCGCTCCTGCAGCAGGCTCAGGAGGATCTAGCGGCGGCAAATCTGCAACAGAAAAATGGTCACCGATCAGATCTAGCGCTTCAGCGTCAGCATAAAGCTCAAGCTCATAGTCCTCCGGCCTGGCGTCTACTGGCACTTTGACTGGGCTGACATCCGGACCCGCGTAAGGAGTCTCGTGCTGACCAACTTGCACTACCACCGTGTCGTTTGGAATGTCGACGCTTTTCACGATTCCGTCGACATTTCGATGGAACTTGCCGCTTGGTCGGCGAACAGAGACTGGCTGGCCTACGACTAGGTCTTTGATGTTCTTTGCACGCGCATAGCTTCGACCGACTAGCTCGCGTCGCCTCTGAAGGTTCTCGACGTCGCGGTTGAGGATGACTCTGCGGACGGCAGTTTGGATGATCTGTTTTCGCCTCATCCAATCGTCGACCTCGCTGCCCGAGGGTTCTGGGTCGCTCTCGTATGCTTCCACTAGGTTTCCCCACTGTTGTACACCACGAGAGAAAGTCCCGCTGACGAGGTTGAACGCAGATAGGCTAGTGTCGAAGAGCGGGATGGAGTTCAACTGCCAACAGATTTCGTCAAGAAGCTGCTGCTTAAATTCCGTCTCGTCTGGGTACTCGCTTGAGTTGCACGCCGTCTGCATCACCTGCTGCAGCGTTTCGCCATGGTCAAAATCGGATGCCTCCTGCAGCGCCGCAGCCTGCGACAGTGACCAAAGATAGACCTCGACCCAAGGTGAGTAGGGCTCACAGAGTAGCTTGTTCTCCAGCTTCCTACTCGGCCCGTTGTCGCGTTCTAGCTTTGATATGCGGAAGGCCGACTTAAAGGGAATCCCTAGGGGATTTGCGTTGTGGTGTACGCAGCACTTGCGGAACTTGCGCGAGATGAACTCCGAGCCCTGGTCGTAGAGGACTGTCTGCGGAGTGCCGCCGCAGAGCTGCTTCATTTTGTAAAAGAGGCGGATAGCGGCTCCGACAGATCCTCCGCGATGACTATCACACAAGACGCTCGCGCGCACTCGTCCGCATGCGTCAATGGCCTTGATGGTTCTACCCATACGTAGTGGAAGAAGGTCAAAAATCCAGATGCGGTTGATGTCATCAGCGAACTGCTGCAGGGCGCCACGCTGCTTGATCTGTGTTACATCGTCGAAGAAGTTGCAGATGCGGCAGCGAGCCCGAATTTTCTCCATCTCGGTACGCGCTGCGCCGACGAAGAGATTCATTAGAGCTGGGGAATGACCCAAAGCGCGACGCTCTCGCTCGAGGAACTGCTTCTCCACTTGTGTAAGCGTCGGCTGCTCCAAGACCAAGTCTGCAGCGTCGTCGAGAAGCTGTGCTGGTTCCGCGCTGCCCAACTCACTGAGCAGCGTGGCCTCGTCGGGGCTAAGTTCGTTGCTGCCTGATGATGCAAATAAACTTCCAGCTTTTCCAGAAGTAGCACCCACGCCGTAGCTGAGCCCAAAACGAACTTGCTCGGCAACGTCAGCCGGTTGCAAAAATTCCAACAAATCCAGGATACCACTAGACTTTGCTTTTCCTGCAGCCAGTTGCACGGACTTCAGCGGAGCCTCGACTAGGTACGAAGCAGCAAAAAACGAGCGCGCACCATCAACATCAGCGCCCATCTTCAGAGCAGGCCGAACTGGGGCCGTGAAGCGTCCTGTCGCCTCCTCAAAAGGTACTACTTCAATCTCCACCATTGCGATGTTAACTGGTGCCAGCGCGTGCGTTTCGCCCTGTACGCGGATCACTGCTGGGTCGGCTTCGTAGTCCATGATAACTCCATGCGACCGGATCCAAGGCTGTCCCAGCAAAACAGGAAAATTCTTCACATTTCCATGCTCGACAATCCAGAAAACTGCACTGTAAACTCGACTGCTCCCCTTGATCCGAAAAAATACTTCGACGCAGTGGGTAGCGCGTGGCGCCGTGCTGTCCTCGGCGTCGCTCGCTATCGAGCTGAAAGTGACCGCAACTGGCGCCAAAAATCTTCCCCGAGGGTACAGCTTCTCCACGCGTCGAGCGATGTTCCGAGGCAGGCAGTTGTGGGAGCTGTCTGGATCCACACCAACAAGTCCTGCGAATGGGGTGCGAGCCTTCTTCGCATCGGTACTAAACATAATTTTGCCAGCCTTTTGCGCGTACGACAAATTTATGGTGCCGACGGTGGAACCGTCAAAGTTGGTCTGCGGTGCGGCGCGCCGGATGAAAGCCTTTCGCCTCTGCACTGTAGTACTGGAAGCGCTTGGCCGACCTTCAGCTTTGAGCGTCTCAGCAGGAACTTCGGGACAAATGTCGAACGCATGCTGCACTTGCTGCTTTCTGGTTTTGCCATCAGCTGCAGCAGGAGAGATTTTTTCCACTTTCGACAAAGGAAGTCTTTCTTCGTTATCCTCCTCCTCGTCATCGCTGAAGCTGAGAGGCGCAAACCGATTAGCATACCTCCCACGTGATCGCGATCGTGTAGCCCGCTCTTCGCTGTTCATGTCGATAGGTTTTGACATCGGCGCTGTGACCTTCGGATACACAAAACCATACCCATCTTCGCCACCACGTCGCGCTTTGAGATCTTTCGCTTCCGAGTTCAACTGCCCCAGCGTGTTATCGCCCTGGAACGCAGTTAAATCCACTACATGCTTCGAGGAAAAGCGATGATCAGACTGGTCAGGGGTCTGTGCCGGTCGTGGCGCCGGCGCTGAAATGTCGCTGATACCGATAGACGACGCAGACGAAAATTGAGGAGCTTCCGCTGCCTGCACGCAAGGAGAAACTTTGTCACTCGGAGCTTCGCCTTTTTCTGCTCCCGTGCATGACGTACAGTTTGCCTTGTCCTCCTTCTTCCCATCACATCCAACTTTTACCGACACTGTTACCGCCAACGGTGCTGCGCTGCACAAGGAAGTGCCACGGCTCAGCTTATTTTTTTCACTTTCACATTCAGACACATTAATTAATTTTTTTGAGCCAAGGGCTACGGTGGTTAAGTAATTCTTTGATTGACTATCCAACTCCACGCCGCATGCTGCTGGCGAAGTCGGACTAGGAACTACACGATCTTGCTGCTGCGAAGTCGATGAAGAATTTGCATCGCTTCGTTGTTGAGGACACCGTTGCAAAACAGGACTGAGTAACTTTGACTCGGATGCTGATGATGCCAAAAAAGAGCTGCTGCTTTTGCTTTCCACTGCAGGAAAGTTCGCACTATTGGGAGCAGCGTCCCTACTTCCGGCTTCTGCTGGTGCCGGAACCAAAATAGATGCACTAGATGCCGCTGCTTCCGCCGGCAAACCATTCGGCTGAAAGGAAGACGCACCACTTGAAAAGTTCATAGATGAAGATGAAACTTGCACCGCCGGCGCTGCCGGTGGTAAAGAAGAAAACACGCCTGAAAACTGAGATGGTTGATATTCGTTTTTTGATACGTTACAGAAAAAAATTTTCTGTTTCGTATCACTTTCAGAAGTTTTCCGCCTAGAGGAATCTCCAGGCTGACTTGCTGCTTTTGCGCTATCGCTGTTCTTCGGAATCCACACTAATGCTGACTTTTTGCTTGTAGAAAAGATACTGCCTCTTGATGATGATGACGATGCTGAAGGTGCTACTTCTGCACCAGTAAAACTCGAAGATTGAAGCTTTTCGCTCGGACTACCACTAGAAGAAGAAATAATAAAAACACCACTAGAAGATTGGCGATATTTTTCCGACCCATCACTAGAAAAAGTTGACACAACGCCACCACTACCCCTGGCTCCTCCTCCTCCCTGCGTCTGCCAGTTGAACTTTGTATTTGACACAGGAGGGCTGAGCAGTCACAGCTGCTTGGCTTTTGCTTCCGCCGCTGCGACGTACTCCTTCGCCTTATCCACCTTCTTCTGCACCTGCTCCTTGACGCGCTTATTCGTTGTTTTCGAAAGCGCTTCCTCGAGCTTCTTCAGGCGTGCCTGCTGGTACTGAAGATGTTCACGCGGCTTACTGTTGGCAAAGTGTTCCATTGCTTTGGCGAACTCCTTCTCCGTGTGTGCTTTGTCGCACGCTCCGGCCTCCCGGATGGACGGGCAATTCTCACCAAAAGAACACTTTTCACGCTTGCCCTTCTCAGTTGTAGTTTCCGTGCCCGGAGTGAGTAGCGCAGCTCCTGCAACAGCAGCAGAAGAAAATCCACCACTTGTAGATGATGAAACGCCGCCAGGTAAAATAGGCGAAGATGAACCAGAGGAAGATCGAAAATAATCATTCACCAGCGAGTGGTGAGAAGTGTCGCTGTCAGCATTCATCTCGCCAACAAGCACTAGGATTTTCTTCAGATAATCCTCGTCGCCCTTTCTTCGCGCCAGCGGCTTATCATCGACGTAGCGCTTGGTATCGGTGATCTGAATCGCACGAACCATGCGAACAAAATCCTCCCACGATGTGGCGCCAGTTTCGTTGAGTTTGAATCGAATCTGTGTCACCGTGGATTGCGGGATACATAAAGCGCTTAGTGCAGTTTGCACTTTGTGCATGTCCGTCTTTTTGCTGTCCTCGCAGATCTGATCCAAGCGCGCAAAAACGATGCCCAGCAGCGAAAGAAACACGTTGACATCCTGACCATCCTCACGGCGAATCTGTGGGATGTACAGCTCTGCTTTCTCTCTGATGCCTTGCACGTAAGGCGCAAAGTGGTCCTCGATTTCGCCCATGATATCCACAAGATCACGCGAAGCTTTACCAATCAGCGCGAACTCGCCCTCGTGATCTTCAAACGCCTTACTCATCAGTGATGTTCCCAGCATCGTGGTTGTTGCTCCAAGCTTCACCAACGCGTACGCCCAAACGTAAACCTCCTCCTTCCACCTGCGTAGCCCGAACCTTCGACGCGGTGGTGGTGTAGTTAGAGTTTTGGCCAGTTCCTTCTGAAACGGATCCAGGGCGGTCGCCTTCCTATTGCTCTGATACCGACGAAGACTAGACCAGTCAATTCGGTGCGCGCGTTCGTTGGTGCCGCAACGTGGGATGCCACTAGGTGTGATCACTGGTGGCTCAAGATCCCCGGCGCTGTGATCAGAAGAAGCTGACGACGCATCGTCACGAGCAGAAGAGGATGCTGCGTCGTCCATGCTCGCAACAAGCGCAGCTGTTGTTTGTTCGTGAATAAGATGGTCGATCTGTTGTTGAAGCTGTTGACGCACCTCCGCTAGCGCCGCGTCCGCTTGAAGCTGTCGCTGCTGCAGCTCCTCGCGGAACAGATTGCGAACTTCCTCGACAGCGTCCGTCAAATCGTCATGTTGTTCTTGAAGATGTTGACGAACCTCTTCGAGTTCATCCCCGCCTTGCAGAGTTTGTTGATGTTGAAGACAGCCAGAGCCTTTGAGAGCTTCTACTACAATTGCCTTGATGCGAAGCTTTTCTTCACATTGCTTTTGCTCCTCTTCTTCGCGCAGCTTGCGCTGACGCTCCTCTTCCTCCTCGCGTAGCTTGCGCTCACGCTCCTCTTCATCCTTTTTCCGCTGCTGCTCTTGCGCAATCTCCTCTAGGATTTTTGCACGCAGCCCGGCCTCATCCACGGTTTTCCGCGGACCCAGAAACGAAAAGCAGTCCAACATTTTCGCGCAATCGTAAACGTACTCGCCACAGGGTAGCTAGTGGTGCTCTGGCCTCACCATGTCAGAAAAATGAAGGGCAAGAAGCAGGAAACGCAAGGACCGAAAGGCACTGACAAGACCATCACTCCATCCTGTTTCTCCTCAAATATTCTTTTACTGTTGAGCAACCACCGCGCCAGGCAAGAACAAATTACATACATCCGCAAATTCGTGCACTTAGGCACCTTGTAGTTTATTTTTCCTCCTCTCAGGCCCTATGCCTCAAACTAACAGCAAGAAAGATGATTTTTGGTGCATGTTCTTCTATTTCGCTCGTCATTGTTGACGCCAAAAGCACCGGGGGCTTCTTGTCATTCACGGGCAAGAGAAGAGCACGAACAAATCACGGACTTTCGGCCCACTAGAAGAGGTTTTTTCCTACTCTTCTGGGGGGGGGTAGCACTCAATTCTTGACTACAGAGGAGTATACTCCATCCAAGATCGGGGCCAGAAATAGATACTGAGTAAAAATATAGGACCGGAAATAGATACTGAGTGAAAATATCGACCGAAAATATACCCTACTTTTTTCGGTCGTCTTTTTTAAGGGCTTGCGAACGGGGTCAACTTTGTACTTGTAAAGTCGGAGAAAAGCTACGTAAATGCTCTGCTTGCAAGGTGGCCACAGTGGGACCAGGGTCGGCCTGGCTGGTCGATACAGCCACGACCGCAAGGCTTCTAGTGGGGAAAGATAACTGGCTAACGGCCTACTGCCTGAGTTTTCAAGTGGCTACTTCAGAGCCTCAGCGGGGATCTGCCCCACGGGAAAAACTTCAGGCCATGGGGTATCTTCTGCCAGTTCTTCGCCTGTGCTAGCGCCTGGTCTGCTGCATGTTTTTCAACAATCTTCTTAACTGGAAATCAGCACCCTGGGGAATTTTTGCCAGTGCTGACTAAGAAAAAAACGTGACAAATTTGACGATTTTGCATTTTTCTCGCCACCTACTCCAAAAAAAAAAGGTGGCGAAGGCACTCCCCACTGATGTGATTTTTTTCGCCGTGCAGCCACCCCCAGCCAAAAAAATTAAGAAGGGCCTTCGCCTCCTTTTTTTTTCCTTGGTGGCTGGGGTGGCTGGCCTCTTTCGAAAAATTTACATTTTTGCCAATTTTTGCAGCGATGTGCTTAAAATTTGTGAAGATCGAATCGTCTCCAATTAGAGCCTCTACGGCTCTAGAAATTCCAAAAATGTTAACAAATTAAAAAACTTAAAAAACGGGAAAACAAACAAACTCGCGAACGCGTGCGCGGTTTCTAGTCGCGCTAGAAGCTTAAACGCCGGGCAAGGGTATTCCCAAATATTCGCCAAATATTCGCAAAGTATTCCCGTGCGTTTAAGTATTCAGAAAAAGAAGACAAAAAAAAGGCCGGCGCTATCAAACGTAGTGAATTTTCAACCACATGAAAATAATATTCCATCGTAACCAATTATTCATGCTCTCACAGTCATCATATCTGAAACTGAAGAAGAAGGATGAATCTAAAGACAAGATGAATGTTATCGCATGACAACGAGAGATGAAGGCTATCTGTGACAATATCATCTGTGAGAGAAGAGCATGTCCACACCTGAAGGCGCTGGGATGTGCATTCTGATATTTAATCGTTCGCTCTTCGGAGCCCTAATCAAGAATGATAAGAACTAAAGCATTGAGTACTTAGTACTCCAATCATGACCAATGACAAATCAATTATCACACCAACCTTCATAGGTCAGGAAGAGGCGCACCTGATATTCACCACTAGTCTCCGGCTGAGACGTACAGACATCGATGATCTTGAATCTTAAACTGCATCTGACATCCATTTGTTGCTTCTTGGAGCTCATTAGATATGACACAACCACCACAACATCTCTAAATGAGTCATGACTCTTGTATCTTATCCTGCTCTTGTGTTCGCTTATTCTAATGATCTAATGCCAGTCCTATCAACATCTCCTTTCTGTTTCTGTGAGAGAGACCGGCACCTGACCACCAGATCTATGTGATTGAATACAACAGTCATGATCCACTGCAGTGAGCATATTGCTTCTAGGAGCCCTATTAAAGAAACAACCGCTCACTAATCACAAAATCCTATATTGGTAGCGGAGAGTGGTTACTTGTGATCTTTGATCACTACGTCTGGTGCGATGCACGGTCTCAGTCACCTTTTAATTTGCCTAATTTCTTGTATCACCAACTAGTTTTCTTTTAAGTACCTGAACTATCATCGAGGAACTAAAGATCAATACTTCTTATAAGAACACCAAAATGGGGGGAGACCGCGAGAAAGAAGACGAGAGAGGACCTCGCTTTGAAGGGACTTCTAACGAACTTCGACGGTATGAAATCGCGGCTCGACTCTTCATCGATGCCAGTAAGAAAACCGAGGACAAAGTAATCGTCGACTTAGTCCGGAGATGGAACGAAGAATGCCAGCAGGAACTGTACGACCTCATCGGAGGGGTCCATCAAGTGAAGGAAATTCAAACCCTATCTGGGTTGCTCACCTACGCCAAGGTCATAGCGTTCGGACACCGAGATGAGCAGAACGAACTCCTGTCCAATCTTCACCGGATGAACAACCTCAAATTCCGGAAAGATCAAAAGGCCCAAGTTGCTCTGCGTCACTTCAATGAAGTATTCGAAGACCTCAATGACAGTGCCAAACTTGCTGGAATCACAGTCCGCGGAAGGTGTGCTTTTCGTGGTCATCAATGCAATCTTTGCCACGCTAGTGATGTTCATCTGCATGGCCATAAGAAGGATTGTATCAATGACGAAGAGTTCGACATCTATCCTACCGAACTTTTCAACAACTCGATCAAAAGCCTGTTTCTTCTACTAAAACTTCGTCTCGGCGAAGAAGACACATTAAAAATGCTTCGAGAAGTCGACTTGTTTAACTACGAGGCTGTAACGGGATTCATGAAACAACGAGATCGTGCACAACGACTCACCAGCGCATACCATCCCGGGGGAAATAACAACACGTCAAATGTATACCGCGCTGATCATAACCAAGAAGAAGACAGCAGCAATTCCGAAGGCGAAAGCGATGAGGAAATTGCAGCAGATTTCGACACCTTCAATGAAGAAGACAAAGATGCCATCTGCAACGTCTATTTCTTGGGAACCAAAGGAAAGCCTTCTAGGAGTAATAGTAACAATCGACGAGGACCAGGGAATGGACGTAGAGTGTTTAGTAGAGCATTCATCAAGAAGAACAAACGTTCGATGAATCAATACAACACCGGACGAAATCGTGGACAAGGAGGCCGCGGTCGCAACATCCGGCGTGCTGAAGACCAGGAAAACGGATCGGCACAAGAAGAAGACGTTGACATTCGGGGCGTTTTTACTGGTACCTGTTGGCTTTGCAATCAAGCCGGACACCGTGCGAACGAATGCCCGAAGTACAAGAAAGGTGACGAAGTGCGACAAGTTGCCATGCAAGAAGTAGCAAAACAATTTCCAGAATTCGAGCTAGTACATCGAAAGGAAGAGCCGTTTAACACGAAAGAAGAAATGCGTCGAGTCGATCGACTGACTGGAGAAGACGAGGCACTTATCTGTGAGGAAATAGCATCTCCAACTTGTACTCTTTTCCCAAATAGAAGGAAGATACCACATCAAGATATTTTTAGTGATTGCTTCGAAGATGTGTTGTACTACGAATCTCGGAGCAAAGCACGACGGAGACGTCGACCCGTCAAATGGTCCGAGTGCCACGAGGACGATGTAGAATACTTTGATGCTCGGGAGCTATATGCCCCAATCAAATATCGTTACTTCGAATGCCTCGAAGAGATTCCTTTCGAGGAATGTTACGAGAACGAAAGTAAACATGTACTCTCGGGTACTCAACGTGTTTTTATCAAGAGAGAGAAACGGGAAGCCCGACGAAAACGCGCGAAACATCGTAAGATACATCTCGGAATGCTGCGTAACCAGGAAGCTCAGGCCAATCTTAGTTTCCTCAAACTGGAAGAAGTAGCTGAACGAATGTACTGGTATGATTGCAATGAGGAACAAGAGGAGACATATTATGACGCTGCAGAAACAGTTCCTGAAAGGGATCATAAATCGAAAGTTGGGACCTTCAAAGACCAGCACCGAGTGAAGAAGTCTATATTAAGAAAACAGAACCAACTCGCAAGAAAGCAAAGGAAGAAGGGGGTGACCGCTCTTCTTCATTTGACAGAAGATAGGAAGTGCGAGGAAGTGTATGTTGGGAAGGACTAT